CCTTTTGATCTCCGCTGCACTAGAAAAGTTAGACATTTCATAAGTGAGTAGTTTACCTCGAAGTGCGTCATATGTCAATGTATTGTAATCTCGGCCTTCTTTGATAGGGTTGACCGTAGACTTCCATTCCGGTGTGAGACTTCGAAGGATTTTTCGAACGAGAACATGATCCTCATAATGCTTTCCAAGTGTATCCAAATTTGAGACGATAGTTGAAAATCTCTCGAACATGCCATCTATTGTTTCATTTCCCATCATCATGAAAAGCTCATACTCATGGGTGAGTAAGTCGATCTTTGAGTTCTTCACTTGACTTGTTCCTTCATATGTGACTTCTAATTTGTTCCACATCTCATTGGTCGTCTTGCACCTTGAGATTTTCCGATAGTCATCCGGGTTCACGGCACAATATAGAAAGTTGATGGCCCTTGCATTTAGTTGCATCTTCTTCTTGTCATTTGAGGTATATTCAGTCTCTAACTTTGGAACAAGAACCCCGTCAACAATCTTCGTGGGAACCGTCTCTCCATGCTTGATCACCATCCAAGAATCATAATCATTTGATTGGATGAATATTCTCATCCTCTCTTTCCAATAAGCATAATTTGTTCCGTCGAAGAGTGGTGGCCTTGTCGTGGATTGTCCTTCGGCAACTCCGGGTTGAAATGTTCTTCCGGCCATGATCTTTTTAAATTTTCAGCGGTAAAGCTTTGAAAATCCCTCGCTCCGATACCACTTGTTAGACGCCTCGCACACCTCTAGAGGGGGGGTGAATAGAGGTGTTGCCCAAAAGACCGGTTTTTTTTGCGCGGAAACGTTCTTCACGAATATTCAACAAAAACAATGCACCACAGACAAAATAAAGTGAAGGATAAGAGCAATGCACACACGATATATACTGGTTCGGCCTAAATGCCTACATCCAGTCCCCGAAGCAATCGTGCCCAGGCCTTCACTAACCCGTCAAACTTAACGGAGTTTGACAATCCGAATACAACTCGAGAACTTGATTTCACAAGCCTCTTATCTTACCACCGAAGTTTTGATTTCATAAAACTCAGGATTTCTTCCACCTAACATTTGATTTCACAAACCGTCAGGATTTCTACCACTTGGTGTAATCCGAACACCAAGAATACAAATCCCTTACAATAAAGTAAGAAAACAAACCGCAACCGAGTAATTCTCCCAACACAGAGTAGATTGTTGCAAATACAATGAAGTCCTTTAGAATATGGCAATATCTCTCAAAGACTCAAGCAATGAGGAAAAACTCAAGCAAGAAATGATTTAGCAATCAAAACAATTGCCTTGCTTGGATATAAGGAGGGGATTGAGTAGAATCTCTTTGGATATTCAAAGGATATGTTCTTCAAAGTGTTCTCAGTGTTCTACTAAAGATAATCTCGAAAGTAGATAGTTTATAGAAGTTGGGGAGTGGATAGGGATGAATAGGATTCAAAAAACTAGCCGTTTGGTAGTTGAAACTGTCGACTTATTCGAATAACTCAAGAACTATTCGAATAGTTTGGATCAATCGCGTGGCTTGAAAAAACCAGTTCCTATTCGAATAAATAACCATTTATTCGAATAAATCAGGGTGAAAAGCCACGACTTATTCGAATAAGTGGTGATTTATTCGAATAAATCAGGTTGATTTCAGCAACAGGAAAGATCACGACTTATTCGAATAAACTAAAGATTATTCGAATAGAAAGGCAACTTCCCCACACAAAGGCTGATCTAAAATGAGTTTTAAAGGTAGGATGATAAGGGAATGAACCTTAGAGATGTCATACTCTTTAACACATAATCTAAGACCTAAAACACTACCCAACTAAGGAAACAACCTCTTCGGTCTCGTTCCTTCCACCGATGCTCAAGTCCCTTCTTCACGGACGGATATGAACTTGTTGTAGCTTTGATTCTTAGCCTTGATGCACAAAATGATGATGATGTTTTGTCACTCTTTTGTCATTATCAAAACCTAAAAGACAATGGGCAAAGGACATTGCAAAAATATATATGCATGATAGCACATTGTCCAACAGTTATTGTTATTTTATTATAATTATATTAATAATAAATATTTTAATTTATTCGGGCCGGCCCGGCATGTGGACTTAAGCATAAACCTGAGCCCGGCCCTAAAATATTCGGGGCTCCATTTATATGTCTCAAGCCCGGCCCATACCCTAAAATG